TTTTTGGTAAAAAATTAATTAATTTGGTCTTGAGTCAAAATTCTATCCCTGATGACAGGCTGCTCCTTGAGTCAGCAACAGTCACACCCAACGCGGTGGTGGCCCAAGACGGTACCGGAAAATAGCAAAGCGAAGTATGTGATAAAGATAAAGGCCGGAGCTTACAAGGAGTACATTGACGTGCCGTCGACCAAGCCGAGGTTAATGTTTGTCGGAGATAGCCGTTTGAATACTATCATCACCGGAACACAGGAGTAATAAAGGTGGATTTGACACCTTCGAATCTGCAACAGTCGGTACGTTCACAAAGATATTTCATCGTACTAATTTTATAATAAAGTATTTACTCTTTTTAATATGCATGGTTTTATACACAATATAAGCCAAATCGGGTGGTTCAGCCAGTGTTATAACTAAAGATCTATAGAGATAATAATTGTGGTAAAAGACAAGAATTTTGGCTGTAACCCTAATCGGCTAGAATGTTGCCGAGAGGTGGAAGAGAGAAGATGAGGAAAATAATTCTCTGCATACTTTTTCATTATTGATACTTTACACAATAAATAGAAAATATACATATGTATGCAAAAGGAAACAAATATACTAATTACATAAAAAATAAGTAATGATTAAATAATAGGAAAGACCAAGATATGAGACAATCACAATGATTTCGATGCGCTTATGTCTCGGTTGTGACCGTTCTTTGAGTTTCCGAGGTTGTTGTCAACATGTCCGAGTTTGCTTCTTCGTCAAGATTCCCCCTCAAGCTTGGTTTATGAAGATCCACAACACCAAGCTTGAAGAGAATGCTTTCATGGTTTCTCACATTTGGTGCCTTGGTGAGCAAGTCGGCTAATTGATCTCCGCTTCTAATGTATGGTGTTGTAATGATTCCTTGAGTGACCTTCTCCCGAATGAAATGACAGTCGATTTCGATATGTTTGGTCCTCTCATGGAATACTTGATTTGCTGCAATGTGGATAGCCGCTTGGTTATCACAATGCAACGGGATGGCATAGTCCGTGGCTATACCGAGATCTCCGAGAAGTCCTTTGAGCCAAACGAGTTCGCTTGCCGCCGTGGCCATTGCTCTATATTCTGCCTCCGCACTCGATCTTGCAACCACATTTTGTTTCTTGCTTTTCCATGTCACTAGGTTTCCTCCAATGAAGGTACAATATCCCGAGGTTGACTTCCTATCTTGTTGGTCTCCGGCCCAATCCGCATCGCAATATCCAATAATGTCCACTTGATTGTTCCGGTTCATCCAGATCCCTTTGCCGGGTGATCCCTTGAGATACTTTAGTATTCTTTCCACCATCCCCCAATGGCGTGTGGTAGGTGCATGCATGAATTGACTTACCTGTCCCACAGCAAAAGACAAGTCAGGTCTAGTAATTGTAAGGTATATAAGCTTACCTACAATCCTCCGATATCGTTCAGAATCTTCAAGTGGTTCCCCCTCTTGTTGGTACTTGTAGCTCACTTCTATGGGCGTCTTTGCCGGTTTAGCTCCAAGTTTTCCTGCACTACTCAAAAGATCAAGTGTGTACTTTCTTTGGGATAAAAATAACCCATCAAGTGATCGAGTTACCTCTATTCCGAGAAAGTACCTTAATTCACCCAAATCTTTAATATCAAATGAGTTATGAAGAATATATTTTGTTTTTACTATCCCTTGTGAATCATTACTTGTGATGATTATATCATCCACATAAACAAGTAAAACGATTATACCTTTTTCGCTCCGTGATGTGAAGAGAGAATGGTCACTCTCGCTTCGGTAAAATCCATGAGTAGTCAATGCATCATAAAGTTTGGCGTACCATTGTCTTGGTGACTGTTTTAAGCCATATAACGCCTTCTTGAGCCTGCATACTTTGTTCTCCCCAAGTGAACCATGAAATCCCGGGGGCAAGGTCATGTAGATCTCTTCCTCTAAGTCTCCTTGGAGGAAGGCATTCTTTACATCCATCTGCCAAAGTTCCCAATTAAGGTTAGTTGCAATGGAAAGTATAACTCTTACCGTGGGGAGTTTGGCAACCGGCGCAAATGTGTCTGTATAATCCTCTCCGTAGGTTTGAGTGTAGCCTTTTGCTACTAATCGAGCCTTGTATCGTTCTACATCTCCATTACTCCGGTATTTGACTTTGTATATCCATCGACATCCCACCGGCTTTTTATTTTCCGGTAGAGCAACTATGTCCCAAGTACCATTTCTTTCCAAAGCCTTTATTTCCTCTTGCATGGCCTCTCTCCATTCCTTCTTTGCATTTGCATCTTCGAATGTTTGAGGTTCACATTCCTGATCTAACTTGCTAAGGAAGACACGATGATTAATAGGCAAGTGAGTAATAGAGCAGAACTGTTGTATAGGGTGAGTTACCGCATATCCATTGAAGTTCTCCCTTAATTTATACGTCGGTTTCCTCGTCCTTGAACTTCTGCGCAGCGGTGGTGTGCTCATTGTGTCATTAGAAGTCTGCGACACATATGGAAGTGCATCGTCTTCTCCATGTTCAGAGAAAATGCGTTCCTCTTGCCCGGTCAGGTGGTTATGGACCTCCTCATCTGACATCTCAATCTCCTGCCTGTCATCATTGTTTAAGTCGAAGGGAATTTCGAGGGTACCTGTTTGTCTTACGTCGGGATCTTCAGTCTGATTTAGTTCGAGTGTTGTTGGAGTAGTTTCGGCTTGTGTTGTAGGAGTATCTTCGGTCTCAAGTAAGTCTTTTAGTGTGTGTGAGTAGTTCGGTGTCGAGCTTGCTAAATCTTCAAACTCCTTCCAGCTTTTCTTTTCGAAATAACTAACCTCTTCCATGAACTTCACATCTCTCGACACAAACAACCTTCTTGTTTCCGGTTGATAGCATTTGTACCCCTTTTTCTTAGTTGAATATCCGAGAAAAACACACTTGATGCTCTTTGGATCCAACTTGTTTCTGTTATCCTCTGGGACAAATACATAGCACAAACAACCGAATACACGTAAGAAATCAAGAGAAGGTTGAGTGTCGTTGAGTACCTCGAAGGGAGATTTGTCGTTGAGAATCTTGGTGGGTAGTCGGTTGATCAAATAACAAGACGTCATAACTGCATCACACCAAAAACGTTTAGGCACGTGATGATGAAACATCATAGCTCTCGCCACTTCCATAAGATGACGGTTCTTCCTTTCCGCTACTCCGTTTTGTTGCGGAGTGTAAGCACATGATGATTGATGCTCAATGCCGTGCTTGGACATATAATCTTGAAATCGAGAATTTATATATTCTCCCCCATTGTCTGAGCGAAGGCACTTGAGCTTTGCATCGTATTGGGTGATGATGTACGCATGAAACCTGAGAAAAGCATCAAACACATCTCCTTTTGATTTCAAAAGGGTTAGCCATGTATATGTCGACTTTTCGTCGATAAATGTCACGAAATACTTATAATTCTCTCGAGAAGTACACGGTGCAGTCCACACATCTGAATGAACCAAATCAAAACAATTCTTATAAATAGAGTTTGAACGAGGAAATACATTCCGACAATGCTTGCCCAAGATGCATGCCTCACAACTCTTATGATCAAATGCAACATGTGGTAGTAAAAGTTTTAAAGCAGTAAAATGCGGATGACCTAGTCTAGCATGCCAAATGGAATTGAGAGCCGTTTCTTCAACTTCATAATTGCTATCTAAAATGTAAAGACCATTAGCAGCTTTTCCTTTGGCGATGATGCGTCCGGTCTTAATATCCTGAAAATACACTCCGTTAGGACCAAAAACAGCTTTACAATCAAGGTCTTTAGCTGCTTTATACACGGACAAAAGATTGTTAGTGAACTCAGGAACATACAAAGCATCTGTTTCTTTATCACATAATTTTAATTTGCCCGTGCCTTTAATAGGAACATTATGACCATTTGCAACCGAAATAGACCCATGAGCATGTTTAATATTTGACAATAATGCCGGGTTATAGATCATGTGGCTCGTTGCACCCGAGTCGACAATCAACTCATTATTAGCAAAGAAGTTAAGAAAAGACGTACCAAAGTCTTTAGAAGCAATCATCTTCGAGATGTTTGAAGTGAGACTGTGGATCATCTTTTCCATGTCAGTTTTTGTGACATATTCGGTTGCTTGCAATGCATTATCGGTGGGTAGTTTACTGTCATCCTCCACAGAATCAGGCGGATGTTCACCTGCAAAATGAGCTCTCTCGGAGTGTGGAGCAGAGGAAGCAAACCTGTGAGGCTTAAGTTGCGGGTGAAGGACCCAACATCTGTCCTTGGTGTGTCCTTTCTTCCGGCAGTAGTCACAGGTAAGGTTTCGTCTGTCTCCGACATGCCTGTTGTGGCCAGCCCTTGCCGCAATTTCCCCGTGTCCCCGAGGGAGAGAAGCCGCGGCGTGAGCAAGCTCACTCGGACCAGAAAAAAGGTGTTGCCCGCCTTCATCTTTTTTAATTCGTGCACATACCTCAGTGAACGGTGGGATCGTGGCTTCACGGAGGATAGCTTGAATGAGATGCTTGTAATTGCCATTGAGTGCAAAAAGTAAGGCAAATGTTTTGTCTTGTTCGTGGTTCTCCTTCTCTTTTGTATCCGTCGGCGGCGGACGTAGCTCACATAACTCGGACCAAAGGGCCGTGAATTCACCGAGGAGAACGTTGAACGATTTCTCCTCTTGTCGTAGAGAATATATTCTTCGTTTGACTTCATAAATGCGGCTCACATTGGATGTGTTCCCAAAAACATCCTGCAAAGTATCCCACAAAAGCTTGGCAGACTCGATGTGGTTGAAAGACGCCATGATTGTACTGTCAAACGAGCTTTGCAATACTGTAATGACCGTATGGTCTTCTTGCAGCCATTTGGAATCCGCCTCGGAGAGCGGTGTAGTTGCAGTTTCGATGATTTCTTTGGCAATGGTGACATGATTCCACCAACCTTTGCTCTTAAGGAACATCTTGGCCGATCTCGACCAGCTCATGTAATTATCGCCGTTTAACATGACGGGAATCAACCTGAGAGATGAAGAATCCATGGGGAGTTTCTCGACAAAGATGTCGGATATGAGGTAATGAATAAAGAAGAAGAAACAGGGTACGTAGGATCAAAAAGTGTGATGGATTATGGATCAGTCAGGCTCTGATACCATGTGGTAAAAGACAAGAATTTTGGCTGTAACCCTAATCGGCTAGAATGTTGCCGAGAGGTGGAAGAGAGAAGATGAGGAAAATAATTCTCTGCATACTTTTTCATTATTGATACTTTACACAATAAATAGAAAATATACATATGTATGCAAAAGGAAACAAATATACTAATTACATAAAAAATAAGTAATGATTAAATAATAGGAAAGACCAAGATATGAGACAATCACAATGATTTCGATGCGCTTATGTCTCGGTTGTGACCGTTCTTTGAGTTTCCGAGGTTGTTGTCAACATGTCCGAGTTTGCTTCTTCGTCAAGAATAATGATATATATATATATATATATATATATATATGCTTTTGAAAAAAACTGAAATGCTAATTAATATGAACGAACTTTGATGATATCTGAACATCCGGATTAACTTACTTCATTGCTTGTTTGTTCATAGCCACATAGCAATAGCATATGTCCTTTTGCCAAACATCCATATGTTTTGTCTTTTTTTGATCGTTTCTTGTAAGTTGTTTCATAGGAACATTTTTATCATCGGCGCGTAATTGTGTGGTTCGTGCCTTACCCACTTTTGTCGAGACCACAAATATCTCACCTCCAATCAACACATGCATTGTTGCCCTATTTTTTTATTTTTGTATTTTTTTAATTTCAATTTTTTTTTCTCATCTGATATTCACGTGGATTTTATGTTTAGGATATAATTTTACGTGTTCAAAATTCCGATAGTTTTTTTTTTTTGCGTGTGCAAAAGGTACGACATATCTCATATGTGTATAATTTTACGTACGTAGTAGTGACATGGGTTACAGATTTTATATAAACATGTGTAGCTCAATATAACAATGCAAGTGTTTCTCTTTTTTCGGTACAGCCGTGACGGGCGACCACTTCCTGGCTCAAGACATCACGTTTGAGAACACGGCCGGTGCCGTGAACGAGCAGGCAGTGGCTCTCCGGGTAGGTGCCCAAAAATCAGCCTTCTACCATTGCGGCTTCTCGGCCTACCAAGACACTCTCTACGTCCACTCCAAACGGCAGTTCTTCCGCAACTGTTTCGTGGCCGGCACGGTCGATTTCATCTTCGGCAACTCGGCCGTAGTCCTCCAGAACTGCGACATCGAAGCACGCATACCTGGCAAGGGTAAGCAGAACATGGTTACGGCCCAAGGTCGGATCGACAAGAACCAGGACACAGGGATCGTTATCCAGAAGTATTGTCGGATGAAGTTATCAACGCCACGTCTGATCTCTGGCCCGTGATGGATGAGTACCCATCGTATCTGGGCCGTCCATGGATGGAATACTCACGGACGGTCGTGATGCAATCTTCCATCTCGGAGGTTGTTAGATATGTGATTCAAGAGCAGTTTCAATCGGTTATTTGGAAGTTTTTAATTCTGCAGTTAAGGTTGGGAAGTTTCTATCGGTTACTAAATTATCTCTATAAATATGTGTATTGATAGTTTTTAGAAATTATTGCAGAATTATTTTCTGTAATCAATTGGGTCGGTTTCAAAGCATTGTTGAGAGGAAACCGAGTTATATGGGGTTTGTTTGTGTATTTGTGTATGTATTTATGTTGTGTAATAAAGAAAGAGTGTTTAACTTTGTGAAAAGTTATCAGAGGTGATCAATCCCGAAGGTTGGCACCCGTGGAACTCGAGTAACTTCTATTTGGACACTCTTGACTTATAGAGAGTATTCGAACAGAGGACCAGGGGCAAACACGAAATATAGAGTTAAGTGGAAGGGTTTCAAGGTAATTACAGACCCCAAAGAGGCTGAGCCGTACACCGCCGACGAGTTCATCGACGGAAGTAGCTGGGTACCGGAAACTGGTTTTCCTTATCAACCCGGTCTCTGATCTATGGCATGTTGAACCGGTTAATTATGTGTTATACGTCTCTATGGGTTTGAGCTGTGCATGTATATTTACGTATGGCGATCTACATGAACCTGAGACCACGTGGTCCTCGAAATAAATAAAAGCTTGTATCGTTTTTTTTATAATATCAATTATTTCGTTGTACCATTACTGTTAAAAAGATTGCACATGTATGTTATAATATATATAAGTTTTCTGTCACATGTTTTTTTTTTATTGGATTTCGTCACATGTTTGTAACATATAAAATCTATTGTAAAATTGTGGGCAATAAAAATCAAAATCTTTGACAAAAAAAAACATATAAAATCTAACATGCTTAACTAGAACTCAATTCAATTAGAACATCTTGGTCCGTCGAGCAGTTGAATATATCTCTATTAATACTAAAATTCTCACATGTGTTTTTATTTTTTATTATTGTTTCTAAGTTGTCTTTAAGACTATTTTATCCATGGAGCATGTTATGTGGTTCATGCATGGCATGTCTGTTAGCGAAGATACAAGTGACAGACCAACTGAAGACACATGGACGACAGACGAAGATAACCATGCAAGCCTATACACGTAAACATGTCTCTCCTCAATATCAGGAATGAATTGGCTTCAGTTTTGGACGACAACCGTTGGAGTTATTGGCTAAATGATTCTCTTCCTATTTTGAATTATTTTAGCTTCCTTTTCTTTGTACAGACAATATTTCTTTCCTTGCTCTGTTTTCTCCAGAATTGTACATATATGTAATATGTTGTATTATAGAAATACATACAGAATTCTTCATTATTTTTTTGTGATTCAAAGCCTCGGTACTATACTTACCGAGAGAGAGAATTCGAACCCTAAATTTCACATGGTATCAGAGCAGCCGATATCCTTGATCTAAACTTCCTCTTTCTTCTGCGTTGGCTGTTCTTTGCTCCTTCAATCTTCGCCGATTTTTTTTTTTTTTTTTTCAGTTTCACTACACCATGGAAAACTCGTCCCTGAGACTTATTCCCGCTGTCTTGAATGGAGACAACTACCTGAGTTGGTCTCGCTCTGCCAGAATGTTTCTCAAGAGCAAAGGATGGTGGAATCACATCCTTCATACCAAGGAGATTGTCGAATCGGCCACCACCGCTCTTAGTGCCGACGACTCGAAATGGCTCCAGGAGGATCATACCATCGTCACAATCCTCCAAAGCTCCTTCGACAGCTCGATTTTGGCTTCATTTAATCACATCGAGTCGGCTAAACTCCTTTGGGATACCCTGAACGATGTATATGGTAATAACAATTGAAAGGCTTATTCTCATTAGGTAAAGTGTCGTTTACATATATACACAGCAAGAGGGAGCAATGACAGATTCGCATAACAACCGGATCCTACAATTATGGAAGTTTCTTAATATGCAAGATATTGTGGTCTAACACGCCCCCTCAAGATGGAACACCGGAGGTGACGCCAATCTTGACACAGAGATCGTGGAACGACGTCCGAGGTAGCGGCTTCGTGAGAGCGTCGGCTAATTGGTCTTTCGAGCTGACGTGAAGAACACGTAAAGTACCGGACTCCACTTGTCCTCGAACGAAAAGGTAGTCGAGAGCTAAATGCTTCATCCGTGAGTGAAAGACGGGATTTGCGCTAAGATATGTAGCTCCGATGTTGTCGCAGTATATAGTTGGAACCGTCGGCAACGTGAAACCAAGCTCGGAGAGTAAAGAGACTAACCAGCGGATTTCGGCAGAAGTGTTGGCAACTGATCGGTATTCAGCCTCCGTCGAAGATCGCGAGTGACCGGGAAGTTTCTTTGAAGACCATGAGATAGGGTGTTTCCCAAGATACACAACGTACGCCCCCGTCGATTTGAGATCCCCAGGATCTCCCGCCCAATCGGCATCGCTGAATGCATGTAATGTCATGGGATTCGCAGCGGAGAGGAAAATGCCCGTGTCGCGAGTGCCGGACAGGTACCGTAAAACCCGTTTTGCTGCAGCCCAATGAACATCGGTCGGAGAATGCATAAACTGAGATAACTTGTTGACCGAGAAGCTAATATCGGGACGTGTGAGAGCCAAATATTGAAGACTGCCCACAATTGCCCGAAATTCTGTGCCGTCCGAGAGAGGAGAACCATCCGTGAGGCGGAGCCGAGAGGAGGACGCCATCGGAGTGGCAACTGGTTTGGACTCATTCATCTCGGTTTGATGCAAAAGGTCGGCAATGTATTTTCGTTGACAGAGAAACAACCCTTTCGCAGAATGTGTTGCTTCAATGCCAAGAAAACACGATAATGGCCCAAGATCCTTGATTGAGAATCGTTCCGCAAGGCTAGCAATGAATGTCTCAATCTGATCAGCTATGTTGCCCGTGACAATCAAGTCATCAACATATACTAATACGAGGATGCAGACCTTTCCGTGGCGAAGGATGAACAAAGAAGTATCGGCCATGGAGTTTACAAAGCCCTTATCAAGGAGGAAACCACGGAGCTCGGAATACCATGCCCTCGGAGCTTGTCGAAGTCCGTATATAGCTTTGTTGAGCTTACACACAAATGATGGTCGGTCCTTGTCAACAAATCCTGGAGGTTGAGACATGTACACTTCATCGGTGAGTCGCCCTTGTAAGAAAGCATTGTTGACGTAACCGCAAGACTGAGTACGAGTCGTATGGTCGGCGGCTTCACCACCGGGCTGAATGTCTCATGAAAGTCTACGCCCGGTCGTTGGTGAAACCCCTTAGCTACAAGTCGTGCTTTGTAGCGATCAAGAGAGCAATCCGGTTTGGTTTTGGTGTGGAACACCCATTTACAACCGACTATGTTCATCGTCGAATTAGACGGAACCAAATCCCAAGTGTTGTTGCGAACAAGTGCGTTAAATTCCTCACTCATAGCCAACCTCCAATGAGCTACACACAAGGCCTGTGCAACAGTGGTTGGTTCCCTGTCAACATTCAGTAGAGAAACCGTTAGCGTGAGTTTTTCAATCGTTTGGTGATGCGGTTCTTTCCCCGAGTGACCATCGGATGCTTGTTGATGGCAGGGATTTCCAGTTCTGCAGCTGGAGCTGGCGGCGTCGGTGATGCAGACTCCGATGTGGTGGGGATTTCCGGTATTGTTACAGATGAAGGAGAGTTGCCGGGGTTGTCGATCGTCATCGGGTGTCTAGTGGGCGGAGCGTATGAGTGAGCCGGCATGACTTGGTTTTGTGACGAAGATGGTTCGGGGGGAGATGATGTTGGTCGACTCAAGAATTTGGCTATGTCCGAAAAGGGATGTATATTTTCGTGGAACACTACATGTCTTGAGACATATAGTCGGTTGGTGTTGATGTCAAGGCATAGAAATGCACTTTGGGATGAAGAGTATCCAAGGAAGACACACGGGTTTGATTTCGGAGCAAGTTTGTGGGGAGAATAAGGACGGAGCCATGGATAGCACAAGCAACCGAAGCAACGTAGTTTCTCATAATTAGGTGTAGACCCGAACAGTGAGAAGAAAGGAGACTTCATAGACAAAACGGGAGTGGGTAAACGGTTTATGAGATATGTTGCGGTTGTGAGTGCAAACGACCAGAAGGATAACGGGAGAGATGCATGATGGAGCAAAGAAAGACCGGTTTCGACAATGTGTCGATGTTTTCGTTCAGATATACCATTGTGTTCGGGAGTATGCGGAGGAGTTGTGTAATGTGAAATACCGTGAGAGGAAAGAAATGATTTGAGGGCTATGAATTCGCCCCCATTGTCGGTGTAAAGAGAGATGATCTTGGTGGAAAAACGGTTTTCCACAAGATTTTTGAAAGAAACAAAGGTCTCGTGAACGTGAGATTTTTGTTTGAGAGGATATAGCCATGAGTAACGAGTAAAATGATCAACAAATAGTACGTAATATTTGAATCCATCCGTGGATATAATCGGTGATGTCCAAACATCGGAAAATATAAGTTCTAGTGGGCGAGATGAGGAGACGGTTGAATCATGAAATGGAAGTTTGTGGCTTTTATTTCTCAAACACGAATCACAAAACGAAAACGTAGAATCCCGACACAATGGCAATTTGAACGAAGACACAACACTTTGAAGAATTTGAAGAGAAGGGTGACCTAGACGCGAATGCCACTCGGACAAAGTGGACTTTTGACTCGATAAAACAATAGGACGCGAGGTTGAGGAGAATTTCGGCCACTCATAAACGCCACCACTATTTTTTCCTTTGAGAATCGACGCCCCCGTGCTTAGATCCTTCACCTGAAAAGAATGCGGGAAAAATTCCACCGAAACATCATTAGTCTTGCATAATTGAGAGACCGAGACTAGATTCTTCTTCATGGAAGGCACACATAACACATTTGCAAATGATAAGGAGCGAGTAGGATATGTGAGAGATAA